CACACACACACAGAGACAGACCGACACAGTGGCTTTCCCCACGTAGTCCTGTAGTGTGGAACCTTGGGTGGGCCATGGAACAACTTCCCCACGCCGTGGCCGCAGTACCTCAGTGAAAGCCCAGTTTGGTTCTCTTTTCTCGACCCACTACCTATCGCGCGAGAGATTGGAAAGAATGGCGCGGCTTCGGTCAGCATTAAACTCCAAGCCCCTAAATAGCCTCCAAAAACCGAAACCCTTTGATAAATTCATGTTTTTGAACAAAAAAAACTAAGGAACTCATACTGACAAGGTGTCAGACCCGGATGAGGCTCTTCTAAAGTGTGTGAAAGAGAGTCAGATTGTGGGATTCTGTCTTGTGGTTGTTGCTCGTGCGGCTCGCGAGGTCTGAGTCCCGGCGTGGTGACCACGGCACAGCCATTCTTGGAGGCCTCCGGAACAAGTCGTTGCAACAAGATCTGAGTCTCGCCGCTGCAAGCACAAAGAAAAGTGGCCCGAAGAAAAGGTCTCCCTCGTTTTGTGCCTCCGACTGAATGGCCCCGCCTGCGGGAGCGCTCATTTCAGCTGTGCAAGCTCGATATGCCCCGCGAATCTGAGGGGAAACTTGGAAAAAGAGACAATGGGGCGAGGGAGGCAGACCCACGTAGGCCACAATTGCTTAGACCATGCAGTCCGGCCTGTCATGCCTGATGTTGTTACACTCCTCTGCGGCTCTGAGCATGCTGCGAGAACGTTGCGGGAAGTTGCGGGGTCGGGGGTGGTGAGATGCTGCGGGCTCCGGTTTTTGCTGTGGCAACCTTCCTTTGGGTTCTGCCGAAAAAGACAACCTGATATTGGGGATGTTCTTGGAGTGATACAAAGTGAGACGAAGTGCGGACAGTGCGCACACTTCTGACATGCGCCCTTTTGCAGGTGTTGCAGTGTCCCACTTGTCGCTGTCTCAAGCATGTTTCGTTATGTTTCATCATTCATGGCGTGTTCTTGCTCATATTTCTGCTTTGCAAGACTTCGCGGCTGTTGCCTTTAAGGCACAGGCGACTCTAACCTTCTATCAGTTCTATCACTCCACCAACCGCTCTGAGAGCAGAGCAGACTGGAGAAGAGAGCAGAGCAGAGGAGGAAGCACCACCCCCCCCCCCCCCCCCCCCCCCCCCGGCCCCAAGCAGCGGCCGGGGCACCTAGATCTCGGTAGAAGGTCCCTGGACCTCAAGGAGTCAAGGAATCTCCACTTGTTTCGAGATACCTTCTCGAATTCATATAGAACTTCGGCCATTGAGGCCGCGGAGTCTGAACTTGGGGTCTTCCTTCGGCTTCCTTTGCTGACTTGAACGTTCTCTATGCTCAGATACTCTGTGTCCCCGGGCGGATCATCTCCGCAGCAGCGAAGAGGGCGCTATACGCTGTCCTCCAAAGGAGGAGCAAAGGACAACAACAAGAACGAGAGAACAGAATCAACAGAATCTCTTAACTGAGCACTCCTCACGAGTCGCTGAGAGTCTTCGTCGCAGTCTCCGATGAAGAACGTCTCGTTGAGATCTTAGTATTTGACTTGCTTGTGTACACTGGTCCATGGTCGTCTGATCTTTTCTCCATGGTCTTCGTCGCTGATTACTAAAGCTCACTGCGCAGTACTTATTCGTGCATCTTAGTGCTGCATGCTACAGCATGGAACGGCACAACGGACCCCAAGCTTCGGAGAGAGCTGCTCAGTCTCTCTGAGCTCCTCGTTTACGCCGTAAGATCCGGGCCGGAGTGGAAGCCTGGAGAAGCAACAAAGAGCTGGGTTTCTGCAATCGGAAGGAGCGCAAAAAAAGGTTGGAGAGCGCGAGCGCCTTCGATTTTTTTTTGCTGTGTGTGTGTGTGTGTCGGCACGCGGAGCCTTCGTAGAAGATGCTGATGTCCAGATTCACGATGTCTCCTTCCTTCCCACAAAACAAGAATGGAAGGTTCCTTCCATTTTGCTCAGACGAATCCTCAAGCGCACGATGGACAAAGAAGGGCCTCGAGGGCTCGGCAGTCTGGGATGCCGTGGCAGATGACCTGCAGGCTTCCCCTTTGTCTTTCATTGCAATGCTAGCTCATGTGCTACTGTCATGAACCCTTATACATGCGTGAACAAAGGCACGAATGGCTCAGGTAAGTATCAGACATGAGTATCTGAATATCCATCTACATGTCAGTACATATTTCTACTGTTCAGAAGGTGCGCCACTCACTGATCTCATGACGAAGCGTGGCGCCGTGGCGCGTGCTGCGTCGAGTGCCCCGGCACTCTGAGGGCACTCGGCCTCGTTGGCGGAGACGCAGAGCGCTTTGGGGAAGCGGTAATAGTTCCTCCGTAGCTAACGAGTACTCCACGAGTATTCTCAACGATACTCAATTCTGCGCAACCGCAACTCTCGTCTTCCCAGGCACAGAGGGCTGGGGTAGATCTTGCGGTCGACGCAAGCCTCCCACAGATTCCACAGATATCGTCTTGTCTCAGCCTCCTTTTTAAGAGTTCCTCTGAGTTCCTCTCCTGGTAGACCACGCGGTCAATCTCGTCCCCTGTGACTCCGGCCCGCATGAAGCGGGCAGCAATGTCAAGGACCTCACAATTCCAAGCACCCTAATCGTACATGCTAACAGCTGCTAACCGCTGCTAACACAGAGCTGAACTCTAAGACAGTTGGAGCTCGCAACAGAAAGAATTTTGACCCTAAGACAGTTAGAGCTCGCAACAGAAAGAATTTGACCCCAGCATGGTCACCAAGACGTCCCCCAAACATGCCCGCCTCCCGGCCCAGCTTGCAGGCCATCCGCATGGTCTCGAGCTCCGCGCCCTCCAGCACAGGCACCTGTGAGAGTAGCACTCTCTGGACCGCCATGCACCGTAAGACGGGCAAAAAAACGAAACATACACACACACACACACACACACACACACACACACACCCACCCACCCACCCACCCACCCACGCACGCACGCACGCACGCACGCACGCACGCACGCACGCAACAAACATGCACGCACGCGCACGCACGCAACAAACACGCACGCAACAAACACGCACGCACGCAACAAACACGCACGCACCGCATGCACCGCACCCCACCCACGCACGCACCCACATCGCCCACACCACACCCACACCAACCCACACCAACACCACACCCACACCCACACCCACAGCCACAGCCACAGACCACAGCCACGACCATCCACAGCCACACCAAACAACACAACACCACACCACAACACATAACACATAACACATAACACAGCACACACACACACACAACACACACACACACAACACACACACAACACACACACACAACACACACACAACACACACACACAACACACACACAACACACACACACACACAACACACACCCACAACACACACACAACACACACACAACACACACACAACACACACACAACACACACACACACAACACACACACAACACACACACAACACACACACACACACACAACACACACAAAACACAACACACACACAAAACACACACACACACACAACAAAACACACACAAAACACACACAAAACACACACAACACACACAACACACACAACACACACAACACACACACAACACACACACAAAACACACAACACACACAACACACACAACACACACAACACACACAACACACACAACACACACAACACACACAACACACACAACACACACAACACACACAACACACACAACACACACAACCCACACAACACACACAACACACACAACACACACAACACACACAACACACACAACACACACAACACACACAACACACACAACACACACAACACACACAACACACACAACACACACAACACACACAACACACACAACAAACAAACACCCACACAACTACAACCAACACACACAACCCAACACACACAAAACACACGCAAACACACCAAAAACACACACAACACACACAAACACACACCAACACAACAAAACACACAACACCACACAAACCACACAAAACACATCACACACACCAACACACACCACACACAACAAACACACACCCAAACACACCACACACACACACACACAAACACACCCACACAAACACACACACACAAACCACACCACAACACAAACCCCACACACACACAACCACACCCACAAAACACACACAACACCACAACAAACACACACAACACCAAAACAAACACACACAACACACACAACACACACACACCACACACACCACCCACACACACACACACACACACATTCACACATTCACAGACAGACAGACAGACAGACAGACAGACAGGCGGACAGACAGACGGACAGACAGACAGACAGACAGCACGCACACACACACACACAACGCACACACAACGCACACACACACACACAACGCACGCACACACACACACACACAAAACACACACACACACACACACAAACAAAACACACACACAACACACACCCACACACACACACACACACATACACACACACACACACACCCAACAAACACGCAACAAACATGCAACAAACACGCAACAAACAGGCAACAAACACGCAACAAAAACGCAACAAACACGCAACAAACACGCAACAAACATGCAACAAACACGCAACAAACACGCACGCACGCAACAAACACGCACGCAACCCCCACCCCGCCCCCAATCACAAAGAAAGACGAGAGATGCTTTGGATGAGCTCCCTGTGTGGCGCCTCCTTCACTCCCACGCGCTCGCAGGCACTGGAGCCCTGCCCAACAGCGCGAGAGAGAACGGATCGCACATCGGAAGCCCCTCCATAAGAAAGACAGAGACAGAGAGAGAGAGAGAGAGAGAGAGAGCGAGCGAGCGAGCGAGCGAGAGAGAGCGAGAGAGCGCCCTCTCAGAGGATGTTCTGATCTGCGCCCCCCGGCGTCTGCTTCGCTGGCGTAGTCCGGGAGCCGGGTGCCCTCCAGGGAGACACAACAAGAACAAAAAGTCGAAGAGCAAAAGAGAAAACAACGACAAGAAGAGGAGACGTGAGATTTTGGTGACCGCATGTGACGGCCTCTGGCATTCTCAGCTGCTTGGTAACGAAAGCGGGGCGCAGGCTGCCAGAGTACTGGTAGCCCCAGAACTCCTGGGCTGCGAAGGCATAGCTCTGCGGAGCTCTGCTCGGAGCTCTGCCCGACTGGAGTTCCTTTAGAGCTTTTCTTTTTGGCGGCAAATCTTTCCCTCTCGCTTACAGAAAGAAGAAGAAAAGAGAGAGCTAGAGGGAGCGAGAGAGCGAGTGAGAGATGGAGAGAGGGAGAGAGTCAGAAGGAGAGCAAGAAGATGCCAAGAGAGTCTGCGGAGTCTGCGGAGTCTGGGGAGTCTGATGATATCTTTCTTCGTCCAAGCTTCACGAGGGGGCTTCTGCAGGTCTTGCGAGCTCATCTTGTGAGCCTCGTTCTGCGTGGCCTGACAATCTGCTCACAGCTGCTCAGTGGGAAGGCGTGACAGGTTAGCCGCTGATTGGCTGAGTGTGAAATTGAGCCCGGAGAAGCCTACTGTGCGGCCTCCAGCGTCTTCTGACACCAAGCATCGAAGTCCTGGAGGGATTGTCAAGAAAACCTGGGGAGAGAGAGGACCCTCTTGGACCCTCCCCTTCACATCCGACATGTTGTGTGTTTCGTGTGGCTTTCGTGTCAACAGTCTTGTCTTCGGACTCAAGCTCGGATGCTTTTTGGGTGGAGCCTCGTCGGAGATGCCATAGTTGGCAATGCCGTCAAGGCCGCTGACGGTGCCTCCGCCTGAGCGCCAAAGCTGTAGCTTTTGCGGCAAATTGGCGACGTGTGGCCTGTTTGTGTGCCTAGCAGCAGGGGTGGGGTGGAAACTCGTTGAGAAGCATCTCCCGCTCAAGCCTTTTGCTCCTTTATCCGCCGAGGCCTCGGGCCGAAGGTGTATAGGTTGTCAGAACAGGCACCCCCCTCCAAATCCTCCCCCCACACCCAAAGCCACTTTTCGGCCCCCTTTTTTGCTTCAAATGGGTACCCCCCCTAGGAGAGGAGGGTCCGCAAGCGGATGTCTCGCCAGGACCAGAGGCAGTTGCAGCCCATCCCAGCAGGGCGCCCCCCGTTTTTCGCTTCCCCCAACCCCCCCCACCCCTACCCCAACCCCCCCCCCCCTACAACCCACCTCTCCCCCCCGCCACTCGCCCCCCCACTACCCCCCCTCCCACCCCCCCCCCCCCCCCCCCCCCCCCCCCCCGACGCGCTGGCTTGAGGGGGCTGAACTGGTGTGAGCCCGGCCGCAAATCCGCCCGAGGCCTCGCAGAACAGGCACCCCCTCCAAATCCTCCCCCCACACCCAAAGCCAATTTTCGGACCCCTTTTTTGCCTCCTTTCTGGGAAACCGGGGTCCGCAAGCGGACGGTTCGCTAGGGCCAAAGGCAGTTAATGAATGGCCTGGCTCAACCCTACGATCAATCCAAGCCGAACCGTCTCTTGAACCCTAAACCCAAAAAAACCCTAAACCCCAAAGCATGAACCTTGAGCCCTAAGCCCTCAATCCTAAACTAACCCTCAACCCTAAACCCCAAACCATAAACCATAAACCCGGAACCCTAAACCCTAAACCCAACCCTTATTGCTTGGGTCCAGCGACTTGGGCGCTGCGGAATCACCGTGCTCACGCGGATGCGCTGGGCCGGGCCGAGGCGGGTCGCGTAGCGTTAAAATTATGCCATCGACACGGCTTCTCAGTATAACGAACTCTAGCAGTCGGGTGGTCTTGGTCCGTTGATTGGTGTCGATCATCACACCGAAACACCGAGTTACACTCGCACTCAGAGAGTCCCGCTCCCCCCCCCCCCCCCGCCACCCAGTGCAGATATTGTGAAGTTTGCAGGAAATCAGAATGCCTTCAACAACATCTCAAGTTCAGCCAGGAGGCCACCTTTCTTTTTGCCTGCAGAGGGTTGTTTTTGCACTCTCTTTCCTCTCATTGCCCCGTCCGCTCTCGCTCTCGCTCTCGCTCCCTCTCTCTCTCTCTCTCGGCGCGCCTCGTCGCTTCTTCTTCTTTTTGGCGCCGGCCTCCTTTGCTCGACACGGCCACATCTCCCAAACTTATGTTTTGTTTTTGTTTTTCGGGGCCACTCGTGCCCGAAAGCTTGGGAGCTCTAGAGATCACACCAGAACACTTCAAACCGACGACCCTCGATCTTTGCAGTTGATGAGAAATACTTCTGGAGACATGCGGGACGAAAGGTGGCGCAGGCCTCGTTGGCCTCGTTTTGGTCCTCTTCCTCGTCCTCCTCGTCCTTGGCCTCCTTCACCTCCTTCACCCCATTCACCTTCTCGTCCTTCTCCTTCTCCCTCGCCGGAGGCTCGAAGCTCTGAGCCTCCAACAGGGCAAGAGTGGGCAACGGAAGAGAAAGCCTTCACTGACACGCTCTTCCAGTCCCCCCCAAACTGCGCCCCAAGGAGAGCCTCAGCCTCAGCGGCCTCAGCGGCCTCGGTGGCCTCGCCCTCTCCTCCAAGAGGAGGCAAACAAGTTGTTAACAGCCAGTTGAGCTTGAAAGGGTTTTAAAGACAAACACAAGCAGAAAAGCTGCAACTTCCGAAGTCCTTTCCCCTTCTTCTTCTTCTTTTTCTTTTTCTTGGCGGCCTCTCGCAAGTTGAAGCTTGGTCTGAAGGTTTCAATTTGAACAAGGGTGGGCCTCAGAATCTGGACCCTTCTCCTCCTTCTCCTCCTGGTCCTCCTGGTCTTTGTCCTCGTCTCCTTCTAAGCCATGCTCGGGGCCGCGAGACGTGCTCTAGCAATCTGCTAACCGAAGACGGCCCACATGAGAGCCCCCCCCCCCCCCCTTCTCTCTTGTCTTTGCGGGCACATCTGTAGACATCGTGGAAGGGCCTTCGGGAGCGGGATCGGGATCGCCGGCCACAGCCTCGCCGCCCTCGGCGGCGCCCTTCTCGGCGGCCTTCTTCTTCCTCCGCTGCGACCAAGACCAAAAAGAGAGGGCTTTTCCATGGGGGCTCAATATTTCTATATATATATATATATATATATATGGGCATATCTTTACATTTCCTTCCGAGGCCGCGGCTTCTTCTTGTTGGCCTCGGAGACGCCGCCGAAACTCACAGCGTACTCCCGACAACAAGAAATAACGCCCTCCTCAGAAAAGAACAAAAACTGCGAA